ATTTATTCTAAATATTATTATTATTATTCCGTTTTTTCAACAGAATGCTGGAAACCCTACATAATAAATAACCCTTTTATTAACAAACCAAGAGTACACCGACACCATCCAGTAGGCCTGAGCTGCTAGTGCATCAATCTGCTGTGAGGAACTAACCAGGCTGCTACTAACATAAGTAATTAAACAAAAGTACATAACCGGAAATACTACATGTATCATGTTAAGAAAACACTGTTTGTGAAGCAACTTAAAAAAACCACCCACTAATCAAAACAGCTGGGAACTAACAGTTGGTATCGATCCACTCCTCAATTTAACGTGTGCGACAAAGCCAGCTTTGTAAGTGCATATTGTGTGAAAGCACTCCTCTTTGAAATGCTCAGCACACAGATGCAAAACCTCCAGATGTTTTTCAGGTAGATTGCATTCTACATGTAGGCATTAAATAGAAAAATAAAGTAGCTATTGAGGTTATTTTATGTGAAGAAAATATTGTTACCCATCTTCAACCCAAATTTTTCAGCACTTTCAGCCCATGTCTTTTACTTCCTGGTGTTATCATTATAAAGTGCATAATTCGTGTCAAATAAAAGCATGTTTTTCACCTTCCAAAACAAATATTTCACTATCAATGGTGTCTGTATTAAATCAGATTCTGCTGTGGTTCTGTGTTTGATCCGCAGGTAATGCTGTTTTGATGCTGCAGAGTAAAATTCAATACACAGTCCGCACATGTAGAGTTTAACTTTGAAACTCCAATGGATCCACTTTGCTTTTAAGGAACTTACTCCCTGCCTGAACAATCTGCTCCACTCAAGATTAACGTGGACTTTAATCATCAAGCATTAAAAATAAAGCAGCTGCAGAATTTAGAGAAGCATTCATCGGCCGACACTTCTGGGATGCTTCAGAGATGCACTGTAGCATGCTGGGAACCACTTTGATGAACTAGAAATGATACAATAAACCACATGAATGGGGCATGGATGCCACTTAGATACTTAGCTGCACATATGCGTTCACTAGAACCTTGGGGTGACCCGACCTGCAACCAACTGTCCAGGGTGACATACCTATTAACCACCTGAAAGGAGCGTCCTTCAATCCATAACAGGATTAGATAGGCATAGGATATAGAACGGTTATTCAGTATTGCCAAACTTACTTGAACATCAATACCCCCTTATTAGATGACTTTCATTCAGCTACTTCTAATGTGCATTTGTAAGTATTACATCAGAAAAACTTGATTGAAAAGGCAAAATTTAAAGGAACTGTAAAATTTGCAAAAGCGTTTTTAAGTTCGCTTAAGGTGGTTTTTGGATTTGCGAAAAAGGGTTAATGTACAAAATGGAAGATGGAAACACCTTTTGGTATCAGCTCTGTTGTGACAAATGTTTACCCCACATGTCTGAACAGCTGTTTCTGCTGTCGCAATCTTCCAAGGTGTTCCTGGTATTTGTGTAGACATGGCTGGAAGCATCATTGCCATCACTAGTTTACATGCTGAAGTAAGAATAACCTGCCAGATGGCAAATCATTCATAAAAACTTTAATCCATTACTTATCTGTGGTCCAGGCTAGACTGCAGCATCTACTTCCTGTTTATTACAACCATGCCTGACGAAGTAATGTGGATGACAACGTATGATGACATTACTGTTTGCAGTTCTTGGCTAATTCGCTTTAAACCAAATGGAAACATAACAAATTTGTATTTCCTTCTTATATGTCAAGTCCATCTTTGTCCATCACATGACAGTTTCCCACTGGAAGAAGATAGTTGCTCCTCCAACCTTGCAACCAAGAAGATTTCTTGTGGATACGATGAATGTAGAGTGCTCCTTGCAGCTGTGCTCTTTGCTGCCTTCCTCGCTGTCTAGAAGGTGGATCAGGCATTCCATCTTTGTTGTGCCATCCTGGTGCCCCTGGTTCCATCAGCAAGTTCCACAGAGTGACCCTCTGGCTGGAATGAGCTGTCAAAACATAAACTTTCTCGTTGATGATATGGGATGTTGCTCCTGCATCTACCATAATGCCTTTCTTCTTTACATTGTCTGTTGATCTGTGTTTTTTGTGTGCTTTATCTTGATGAGTCTGTTGTTTTCATCCTCTTGTTCAAAGATTTTTTTAGTACTTTCCAGTCTTCCCTTCTTCTTGTATACAGATTCATGGTGTGTATTTCGTCTGCTGTAGCTGCACTATACTCTCCTGGAAAACATTCTTGCCTTTTAGTCCACACTTCAGGGTAGAATTATCATCTTTCCTGTCAGCAGTAAAGATTTTGTTGGTACTTTTGTTCTGTTTCACATCTGTCTTCATGGCATTATCTGTAAACTAATTTTTGCTCATTGTTTCTTCTTCATGAAATCTTAATCTTCTTTTTAAGTCAGTGATTGTAACCTTATCCTCATTTAGGGTTACATGTACAGCCAGTGGTTTGAATGACTTTGGCAGGCCATTTAGTATCATGGCTATAATTAGTCAATCACTATTAGGTTATCTCCTTCATCTAACGTTCTGATGTTATTCTCTGCCCTTATCAGGTAGTCAGTTACAGTATCACTGTCAAACATTCCTAGGTTTGTCAAGAATGTGTACTATTGTA